GGGTGATTTTTGCCCCTTTGGGGGGGTGAGTGGGGGGGGTGTGTGTGTGTGCGTGTGTGTGGTTTTCCTGTGTTTTGTTTGGGGTTTTTTTCCTAAACAAATACCTAAATTCTGGACATGACCTCTGATTGTCTTTCATATACATATACAGGAAAAGTATTTTGATTTGGAGTTAATGCCACATCTAGAACACAACTTCTTACCTAGTGTGAATTAAGTGCCATCTCTATAGTCATACACAAAAAGCTGTTTTTACAATGACCAGCATCACCAATAATAAAAATATTTACAGGAAACAGAACAACTTAAAGGAAGCACTTGAAATAAATACAGTTGCTTCCTAAGAAAAACCAATAGAACACAACATTTCAGCCCAATTTCTTCAAAGACTTCTGCACATAGGAAGAAAGTGCTTATTGGGAATACACAAAACAAAAAATATTTTCCTAATAAAGGGACACAATATAAAGAAGAGCTCAGAAATCATTCAGCTGGCAGAAGTTTTTAACCTTCGTTACATCATTTCTCCACTTACTTGGAATATCACAGAAAAAGGTATCCTTGTGGAAGTTCCAGTCTGCTTGCCTCTTCTCTCTTTCGTAGTGATCATCTGACCATCTGTCATCTTGATGACTAAAACAGAATAAATAGTTTTACCTTACCTTAGCAAAGAGATTGTTAATAAAAGGAGCATCCAAACAAGTCACACATCTTAATAGCTCTTACATATGAGAAAACATTTTTACCAATGTGACTTTGGTACACAAAACCTGAAACAATCACTGATTTTTTTGTTTAAATTAGAGACTTCAAAGGAAATGACATTGAGCCCCCTACTGAAAATATCCACAATTCAAAGAGAAAAAAAAAATTATACACTGTTTTGAAGAGCTTGCGATGGGAGCTATCTAGTTCCACATGAAAGGCCTTGAGAATTGTAGATGATCAGATTCAATATTTATTGAAATCAGTGGCAGTATACACATGAACTTCAGAGGATATTAGAGCAAGTGCTATGTACATACAAAAAACCCCAATAAAATAAATTGCATTTTTAATACAAATTCTTACCTTTTAGCTTGCTCATCTGCATATTTGAAAGGATAGTTTGCAAGTGTTGCTTTGTATCCTGTGTTTTTCACCATATTGTTCCACGTGACCAATCTCTGTCCTATGGCCGTCCCTCTTGGTTCAAAACCCTAAGGGAAGAGCATCCCAAAATTCCATTAATGCTTTGCATTCTTTAGCTCAAGTGGGAAGTGGAAACATGATCAAAGTGATGGATAGTTTTCATTATGAAGCACAGTTACTCCAGGCATCTACTTTTAAAAGTAAAATGCTTTATGACAGGTCAGACAAAATAATGACCAACTGTATAGAGTGACAAGGGATTAAGAATTCTTGCCTGTACTACTTCTCTCCTTAAGAAGTGATGATGATTTAGTCTACCAAACATTCAACATTTAGTTTTCAGAGAAAGAGTATTCTACAAAGTCCCCTTCTGTATCTCAATATCACGCTTTACAGATTAAATATTATTAAAAAACCACTCAAGTCTATCTTCTCTCTTTCTCCAAGAATAAGGCAAATCTTTAAATAATTTTAAAAGTGACTTTGAAACAATTTTAATAACTTGCTTGTTTTCAAGAAATCTCCATTACTTGTTAATATGTACAAATATAAGTTACTATAAAATAAATAAGAATAACTTATAGGAACAGTATTTTTTATTTGAAGATAATAATGGAGTACAATATTTTCAATAAAAGTCCTGAAAGCTACTCATGGTAAGATAGCTCACGAAAAGTAAGAAATGAGAACATTATTTAATCGAATCTGATAAAAATTACTTTCAGTCTCTCAATACGGATATCATTTCATTCCCAGAAGGCACTCAGAATCCGCTTTCCTTTAATAGATCCTGGCCCTCGCTCTTTGAAGCCTGATTTGGAATGTATGGTCTGTGTTGCACTGTGCTGTACATCTAAAACTGGGATGAATTTACACTATTCAATGTACAGCAGTTCTGTTGAAGAACTACGAGCTTTCAATAGCGAAATGCTGAAGGAATTTAAACTAGTAGATAACACTCGCTGATAGTAACTGCATCTCTGTATCACCGTTAGTTGCTCCAATGTCAAGATTTAATACTTTTTTTTTTTTTTTAATTGGGGAATTACATGGCTCTTTACTACCTCATTTCTTTCATGCATTCATTAGACAAACTTGCTTCTGCAAGCTTACTACCAAGTGAATCTCTCTGGAAATTGACTCCCAAGCAGATTCATAGTACAAGGAACCTTTTCAGGCACTTTAAGAGCCATTTTTTTCCTCTGGGCAGATCTCAATTTAAGAGGAATGTATTAATTGCTGCACTTGCATCTGCTGTTTACTGGTATCACTGAAAAACCAGCAAACCATAAATACTTATTTGACAGTACAATTGATTAATATTTACCTACCAGCAATGGATCGGAGAAATCTGGAAGATCTGGAACTAATATTCCAACCAGTGCACAGACCACTATTAACACAGTACACATGCCCAGGACCACCACGGGCCAGTCAGCTATCAGCGCAGCGTAGCTACATGGAGAGGAGCAGAGACAAAGGTATACAAAAATAAAAGTTATACACAAAATTAATCCATACTTCTCCAAAGAACCATGTTGACACACTGACCCTTTTTCTTTGTTTTACTTTTAGGAAATCAAGCTAGCTATCACACATGGATGGAAACCATTTGGAAACAGTTTAATTCTACCCCTTTTTTTTTAATATAAGAAAACAAAAAAAAAACCACTTTCTATCAAATCTCCCTACTGAAACTTTCTATTCTTATATAGAAAAGCTTTTCATATCAGACTTAATTTTTTTTTCTTCAAAATGCAGGCTTTATCTTAGACTTTCTTTGTGCTGCTATAGAGGTGATTAACTACAGGCTACTGAAATAGATATTTCTGTTGTTTAGCACATGTTCAGTATTTAAAACTGCCATAGCAATAATTTACATAAATTATTTTTACATAAAAAAATGCAACAAAAAAGTGTATGTGAAGTGAAAACCATTGTTTAAGACTTAAACACAATTTTTTATGTGAATACTTTTTCCTTAACTTTATAGTTAACTTTTAGCGTGGGTATTATCCATGACTGGGGACCACTAGAAAACAGATGCTTTCTTTAAAATTTAGCTATAGAAAACATCACAGTTTCTTCTTTGAAAGCTAAGGTTTTTTTTAAGAAAAATATCAAAGAGAGAAAAAAATCAGTTTTAAAGCAGAACCCAAAAGAAAACATTTCCTCTATATTTAAAGCAGTCATTACAAAAAATACTCATAAAATTAAAATAAATAAATAAAATAAAAAATGATCCATAAAATCAGTCGCAAATTCCAAGGTGCAAGGGAGTTGCAACATGACACATAAACTAATGAGCATTAATTGTTAAATATAACACAGATACATGGATTTTAACCCCTAGTTCATTCTAAATTTTAAGAGTGCAAGAATTTTTATATGCAAATCTAATCTTCCTCATTTTACAAAGTATTCTTATTTTTGTTAAATTGATAGAAAATTATCAGAAAATGAAATGGAGCCTAGAAATCTTAGTTTCTTAATATTTTTTTCTTACAGTAGACTTGAATTCATAAAGTTTATGTTTCAAGGGCAACACTGTCTAATCTTGGGAGCAAAGAGTGGATCTTGGGAGCAAAGACAGTCCCATAAAGTTTAAAAGGCATTAGAAAAATGATTAGAGGCTATGAATCATTCTGTACCAATAGTGTCTGTACACACTAAATATTGATCAAGAAGATCTATATTCTTCTTTCCTCCTCAACTTACATGCAATGTAACATGAAAGTTTATAGCCGATTGCTCTCCTTACTTATTTCTACTGTCTTAAAAGATTATGGTTCTTTCTCTGTTTCAGAGCAACTCATTATCTAATCACAATTCAATTATGGGCTCTACAGAAATTTCCTGTGCCATTGCTAAGACAGGAGGTAATGCCCAGCTCCTCATTCCAGCAACAGCTTCCCAGTTTTCTAATTGTAAAATCAATGGCATTGAGCAAGCTTATTGCTGACTTCCCATAGCATGTGGAAATAGGTATGGTCTAGGGGTCTAAGCACAGCTTTAAGGAGCAAGGAAGTCCAAAAAGCACTGGGTGGGTCTCTATTTCCCATTAGGTCAATGTGGAATGATTCTTACCTTCTCACACAAGAGGTTAATTAGCAAAAGCTTGAAAAGCAATCTGAAGTATAAGTTTTTATTAACATGAATCACAAAGCGGCAGCTTGCCAAATGAGCAATTGTACAAAGTAAAAGTGAAGGGAAGTAAATGACCTAATAGAATTTTTCTATTTATAGGACTAAATGTTTTCATAAACACCAAGTGCTGGATTGACTCACTCTTACAGATGTTTGCTCTAGTCATAAAAATCATACCCAAAAGATTTATTTTCCTATTCATCACTAGTGCCAGATTTACCCCTTTGACATGTTGCCTCTACACTTCCATTCTCAGCTGGGCAGCTCTTAAAATGGTTAAATTCTTCAGCCACTAGCTGTAAAAGAAACTATGTCCTCGGTGAAGTGTTTAACATGTTAATAAACCACACACAGAAGACAGTAAGCGCTTGTTTACACCTGCAAATTCGTCCTGTTTCTTGTATCACATACTGAAATTCCCACCAGCAAAGCTGACCTGGGCTGGAACATCAAAAAGGATTAATCACACCATATTTTAATTTTATTTGTCTGAGCATCATTTGTTGCTGCTGAGGGCTCTGGCTCCAGCCAAGTCGCTTACAGCCAACCTCAATCCCAACCCACCAAAAGTGGCTAAACAAATGGCAGCAATTTTATTTTTCACCCATTGAAAAAACATAAAATTAGTTCAGTTACTTATTATTTTCTCTGTGAAAAGCCACTGCCCTTATTTAGATTCTGCATAAATGACCACTTGCATGATAATGTCCAAGTTGAAGAGGAAAGCACTTAAATCAATTCCTCAGTCAAGGAATCACTCACATTCGGAAAGCACATCCTTGGTGCTAAACACATACTTTAGTACTTTTCTAAATCCTGCTTTCTGATGCCTAATTAAAACTACAGGTGCTCAAAGAACTGGGTATATGGCTACACTGATACGTTATAGTTTCTTTTTTTTCCTCCAAACTATTTAAGCACTAAATTATGAATTCTCAATAACTATGACATGGACTGAAATATCTTTTTTTATGCCGTTTCACCCTCTGCTTTCCATCTAGTTATTAGAATGGTGTCACTGCTGTAAGCTGCCTTGTACCCTGAAGTTGCATACGGCTTTCCTTAATTTCCTTCCTTCTGCTGTTTTTCACATACCTGAAAAAGGTTTGAGGTTTTTGGTGAGTGTTTTTTCTTCATGTTTTAAACAATTAAAAATGCTTAGGAGATACAGTTATTAATTCAATCTGCAGTTATCTCACCCATTTAGCACCACTAAAGAATGGTTTCAAGCAATTTGCCCCAAGGTGATCTAAAAACCTCAGATGCTTTCTTAGAAAGGAGGAAGGAAAAAAAAAATACAGTGCTCCACTTCTCATTTTAAGCTATAACCTAAAACAGAGATAAACTTTCAATCCAGCATCTATATGCCGACATACTCAGGTTAAACCACCACCCAGTCTCATATAAAGAGACAGAAACATACCATATATAATTTCTGTACCATAAAGAGGTCACTATGTGGCTGAATTCATATTAGCAAACAGATTTATCCAACTCAAACCAAGATACTTAGCAAACAGGCTTGTTCTTTACCAATGGCAATTCATAACAGTTTAGATAAGTTGCTGTGCTGTTTTCTCTGAAAAGTATGAAAAGAACGAAAGACTGGACTGTAGTAAAAAATACCATAAAATATTTGCCAAAAAGGAACATGGAAATCTGCAGAGATTTTAAAATTCTGGTCCAGTATATCCTCTCCAAAAGAAGATATTTACTGAAAAACTACTTAGGGGGAACACAAAAGTTTGGCCACCATCTGTGGTCTATTTGCTTCCAATGAGGGATGTTACAGAGCTTCTTCCTGGCTGCTCCTTTCAGTGTTAGGCACCCATTGTAGATCAGTGCTTCTAAATGTTGTCTGAACTTGCTGATGCTATCCGCCTCCACAGTCTCCTGTAGCAGTTTCAGAAATTCACTACCCAATGCATAAAGAAATACTTTTTTTTTTTTTAATAATATCTGTTTTAATGTGATTGCCTACTATTCTCCTTGAACATTCCTCACCCTTGCACTGTGCAGGAAATCACACTTTTGCCATCACCTTATCTACTGCCTTTGTGATTCTGCAAACCTCAGATGTGACAGTATTAGACCTTACCTTTTTGGTAACTTGAATGGTCTGGCTGGCCTGGAAGGAGGGGAAAAAAAAAAGAGTAATTGAAAATATATGAAATATACATACATGTACCAATTTGTTTCAATTCTTCCCATACATGGATAAGCAGCTAAATTACAAAAATCAGATATTTTAGAATATGAATTATTTTAAAAGACACACAATCATATTCAATTGAGTCTTTGCAAACAAGTAATTCAGAGAATAATTACAGCTACAGACAGCTGGGTTTTCAAAAGTGGAATTTTATGCAGCTGATTTTTGGGATTACTATTTAAGAGGCCTTTCCAGTTTTCAACAAGAGACCAGATAAATGAACATGATAAAAATTCAGTACCATTGAAAACCATGACAAAGTTTGCATATGATGGGAACAGACAACCAAAACACCATGTTCTGACACTGCAATTCATGGACCTTCTTAATTATCCTTTGTAAGTCCATTACAAAAAATAATTTTGGACATAAATTCTGTCTTGTCATAATGTAGGAAATAGAATGACAAAAGGTACCTATATAAAATAACTTTTCTATGCAACTTTTTGTCAAAAATCTAATTACAAACACCATTACTTTGATAAGGAGATTGCAAGCCCAAATGCAAATTATTCATATCTGCCATTGTTCAGGGAACACTTCATTTGGCTTCACATAAGTTTCACATAAATTTCACTTTAAAAAGATTCCCATGAAGAATCTATAAGTCCTTTCAAGAGTTTCCTGTCTATGAATGCGACATATCACTCCAAAGGTAGAATGATACGATGGCTTCAGTTAAGTTATAGACTTGTTTTACCACCAAGGACACATTTAATACTACTTCTTAAAAAAAGGTATAGAAAAGAATGAATTAAGAAACAGCTACTTGCATAAACCACTTAGTGTTTTGACATTGAGGTCTCCAAAAGAGTAAAGATCTGTATGCTTTCACACCACCGCATAAACAACTAAAATTTCGGACTCCTCAGATATTTTCACAAAAGTTTAAAGCTTAATTCCATGCTCAGAAATTAGTTTTGCTGTCCTTCCAAGGATAAGGTTCAGCACACTTGGTTGAAATTCTAGTCCAGGAGAAGCAAGACTCTCTGGCATCATCATCTCAAGGAAACTACAACCATGTCCATACTAGGTGCCGGGACTGCTTAGACTGTACCTATTTCTAATGCTGAGCAACTGCAAGGGTAAAGGGGAAATAATCCACACAAAACTGAGCCTCAGAAACACTATGCTCTGCTACACCAAACAAAAAGTATAATCCAATGCAAGCCAGCTCTTACCATAGTAACAGGCCACTTCAGACATATATTTGAGGCATTGCTAACTAGCTTGACAGCAAAAGGGTGATGAAAATGTAATTGACAGCATAGATATAAATCTACATATAAATGTGACCATTTCTATTATCCCCTTCCTCGAACAGAGGATGGAAGAACGAATTAAACTAGCAAAGCTAAATACCGATGCGAAGCCCTTTTCTACTCTTCATTCATGAAGTGTCTCAAGCAATATAGCACAAATATAACTAAGATGGAATATTCAATCAAGAAATATAAAGCTAATATTTTTATTTCCTCAAGAAATATAAAACCATTTTAATGTAACTGTTAGAAGAAATAAGAATGGTATTAAAAGCAAATTTCTATCAGCTGTAATTCGCAGCTGTCTGGAAATGCTCCAAATCCCACAAAGTAGTAGGGCTGCTAACTGGGACATGCCTGTAGGTAGCACATAGGAGTAAAAATGGCTCTCAGCAGCAGCCATGAGGAAGCTGGGGAAAAGGAGGAGAAAAGCAGAATAACCAGTCTGCAGTTGCAGTAACTCGGGGACTAAGGAAACGTACAGGCAAGGATTTTCTGTTAAATCCAGCTATAAAAATTAAATTTATGAAAAGTCACCAATGTTCAGACTATAGCCCAAAATGCACAAATCTGACATTCAGAGGCACTGAACATACTCAGTTTCGCAACTAATGCCAAAAACTTCTCTTACGACCACAAGAACAACAAACTCGTCAGCAGCTAAGAAGTACAGAAACCCAAATAAACTGATTTCTGAAATGATTTTGCAACAGTAAGTTGCCTGAGGCTGAAAAGAAGTTGTGGCAGGCTCAGAGGACTTGCCATCCTGTCTACAGCCTCAGCCACAAAACCAACTTTTCTCAGCTAAGGCCAGACTGGACGGTAAGAAAGTAGATACTGAGAGCAGAACTCACTAAGCTTGAATCTGAAGTTAGCAGTAACAGGACTCTGTATGAAGAGAAACGCTTGAACAAACAAGCCCTTTCATGGACTAACTCAGCAGCAATGCAGAGCACAAGCTGAATGCGTGCTTCCACACCTGTGTGAAAAAGCGGACAAAGTACAGAGTCAGGCAGCAGATTTTTGTAATTGCAGAATTCTCTCTATAATCTGTAAACCCAAGAGTGAAATACATCCACATGTATTTAATGTTAATATGGTGATTCAAACATGTATTTCTAGCTTTTATCTGTAAAGATTTCCATTTCCTCATATGTTCACTCATTTGTGAAAGTCAGTCCCATTTTTGTCTGTGCCACAATGGATCTCACCGTGAGCAACAATACCATACAGCTCTTTGGCACAACCACCACCTATCCAAGGACAGCAGTTAGGACAGGTGGAATTCAGGTCTATACTGATTGTAAAAAGGTTTATATCACAATTCAGGTTTACACTGTCAGATAAAACTGCCTTCTGTATCCTTGGATGATCACTACCGTGATCTCCATGACTCTACAAAGGGTTAGCTGGTTCATCCAGAGAGCCACGCTCACATCACCACGCCATCCCCCAAAATACAAGGGTTTCCTTGGACAGTGAGAAACAGAACTGGCACAGAATCATCTGAGGTCCTCAAAAAGCTGGCAAGACAAACATTTGTTGGGAAGGACCAATGTGTAATTGATATTGTTCTGGGGACAATGCAGGCACCTTCTCAATATACCTTCCTGTATATTCACCCTTTCCACAGCTCTCCCAGCCCTTTCTGCATGCAAAATCTTAGCAATGTGCACGTTTTAAATCTCTCTCTTCAAACTTTACCGTCGTTCACTTATGTCTCTGTAACCATATGTCAAAACAGATTTTCTTAATAGAACGTAAAAATTTGTTTAGATAGAACTCTCAAAAATTAACTGAGGTTAATTTGGCTTACACAAAAGAGGTAAAAATACCAATACAACCCTTCCTCATCCTCCCCCTTTCCCATCAAAACCAAACTACATTTCCCTCTGTTTCCTCCACCTGTAAAATATATTCAGTGCTCAACAAATGATGATGATTAAGTTCTTCAAAGTTAGGGAGGGTTAAAGGTCACACCTGCTATCAAACTGTTTTGTTTCGAAAAGCATGCATTAAAAAAACCTGTGTACACTCGGGTGAATTCCAGCAGTGTAACCAATCCCTTGCAGCTGCTGTGATGACTCTATTATATCGGTCAACAGGAAAAGTTATCCCTGAAAACTATGCCCAAAAAATTCTTTAGTTATGCTTTAAAATGCAGAAATGCATGGCAAAACCAGATCTTTCCCACTTAATTAACACTGCTGTGTCTAATTTTTGAAGTATTATACTTCCATTTAGCCAGTTTAAATAACACCACTAATGTCCAGGAAAAAAAAAAAGTCTAGACAGAAAAGAAAGAAAATCCTCATCAGTTTTCATGAGAAAGAAATGGTGAATTCCACAATTGCGCTGGGACAAAAGCCAAGCTGATCTGTGTATTAAATTACCACTGGACTTAGTTCTCACAAGTCTGATAGTGGAAAGTGACAATCACAGTTATTTGTGACGGAACTAGCACAACCAAGCTATTACATAAATTACAGTCACTGATTAAAATCTCATACATACCATGCACCAAGGGGGGAGAAGGGAAGGGGGAAGAAAAGGACAGGTTCTATTCTACAACCATTTACTGCACATCTCAGCCCCTGTTCAACAGATGCTTGGCTTCATCCAGTCCTTTCCAAATGGCGATTTTAGACTGAGCACCATACAATTAGGAACTACATAAAGAAAGGATAACTGGCTTGGTGAAAAACCCCAGATGTTTCTCAACATGAAATGTATTTGGTTGACCAGCATCCTTCTGTGCAACATGGTGAAAAGGAGGAATAGTGTTTTTAAAAAGTGTTGCTATCATATCCAAAGTTTACTGCAGGAAATAACAAGAGCATCAGGAGGATTGCTCAGGGCACCGGTTTGGACTGGACTACTACAGCTCCAATATTCACCTCTCCCATCTAAATAAGCGCTTAACCTCAGCATTTCTACCAATATTTTGAACAGTGAGGCAAGAGAAAATATTTGTGTCTCTGTGTACATACCAACTTGAATAGGGGCGCTTCACACATAAAAAATACTATTGTTTTCCATATTTTTCAGTCTCAGAAAGAAAATAACTAGTACTCTAGCTTCCCAAAGGGGAACACACCGTGCCACTCAGCCACATCCTGCCTTCAGGTTCTCAATGAAGCAGAAGTTTCCTCTCAGTCACAGCACTGAATGAGTCTTCTTGTGAAAGTTCACAGATTGGCACGGCTATAACACAGGGGAGTTTCAGCCTAACTTCAAGAACCACAATGAAGAGCAAGCTTTTGGAAATTGTAAACCTACTTCTATAACCTTCATGTTATCTCGACATTACATGGCACAAAGCAATGTTTCATAAGCATGTTCTTCAGCATGGGACCATTACAAATTAATTTAACATTAATAATCACTTAATAATAAAATTATGGAGAGTTTACTGTTTCGCAGCGCTTTTCTTTCATTGTCATATTTATCATAAAGTAGTTGTTACAAGGCTGTAAATGATCACTAACAGTACTGCAGATAACACAGCAGCAGAAGCAATCACGACAACTGCTCCAGCAAAATGGGATCTAGAACAAATGAAAATTGTAGACACTGCAGTAGATCTGTAGCACCTTCAGTTCCTGGCAGTACTGACAAACACTAACTGTTCAACATAATCTTAATTCCACTCTC